ACTCCAGCCTGGGCAACACAGTGAGACTTCATCTCGAAAAAAGAAAGACTGTGTAGAATGCAATGATATACAAATCTGTTTTCTTTTCATGTTTAATTTTAAACCAATCTGAAACTTAGAGTAAAATCAAAAGTATGATATAAATAACTTTCTTTTCCTGGACCATTTGGAAAAAGGTGAAATAATGTCCACCACTCTAAGTATGTTAGTATGTGTTTCCTACAACCAAGAGCATTCTCCTACACATAAGCAATTCACTATTCAAAATCCGAAAATCAGAATAGAAACACTGATAAGTTATTACCATTGACTCCTCAGACCCCATTTAAGTTTGCCAACTGTCCCAAGATGTCCTTTATAGCACAGTGAGTTAGTTCAGAATCAAGCTTTACATTTAGATGTCACACTTTGTTAGTCTCCTTAAATCTCGAACAGTTCTTCAACCGTTCCTTCATTTTCATGTTTAGACACTCTGGAAGATTAAAGATTATTCTGTACAATGTCTTTGAATTGGAGTTTATCTGATGTTCCCTCACGATTAGATTCTATATATGCATATTTGATAGGGTTATCGCAGAAGTATGTCATATTCTCATTATATATCACACTGGGGACACAAGATTTCGATTTGCTCCATTATCAATAATGCTAACTTTGGTCACTAGATTAGAGATGTCTGTCAGACTTCTCTATTAGGGAAATATTTGAGACTATGTAAATACAATGCTTTTCATGAGATTTAATTTATTCCTTTATTTATAATATAAAGTGTAGATCCACGGTTTCCTATTCAATGGTCTGTTAGTATTATTATTTTGTTTGTTATTAAAATTGTTTGTATACATGGTCAGTGGGAGAACATTTAAGCTGGCTTCTGTGGACATTTGACGATTCTCTACTTTCTACCACAAGATCCTCCTGGCCTATCTTGTACTTCTTCTATCCCAGCTGTGCAATCAGCCATTTCTCAAAGGAGCCTTTGTTCCTTTGATATCAGAAACCAAATGGTATGACAAAGCAAAATCTGACTGCTACATATGCTTACTGCTGTTGGGGTCTTGCTGCTTTCAGGTCTTTTCAGCGAATGAGGCTAATACATGTATATATGTATATAATATGCACATACCTCTATTTGTATACTTTCATTGATATTTACTCTATATTTATCTTTACAAATTGAACACAAGTTTACATTAATAAATTAATAACATCCACTTCCAATGCTGTACCACAGAGTGTACTGTACTAGTTTTCTTTTCTAATATATTTGCAACTCTCTTCTCCAGAAATAAAAAAAACCTGACTCCTATGATGTTAAATACATGTACTTATTTTGTCAATTTCCTCTCACCCCACACTCCATCTCCCATTGTCATCTCCATTGCTATACCCACAATATGTCTTCATCACTCTGCTCAAGATCTGACATCCTGCATGAGGCCACCCATAAGATAGAAACCGTCCTCCACTGTGTCTGGCTGTGATACGCCATACTGGGCTGGCCGCCTGGATGCTGAGATTCTCTCTTAACCTTGCCGTGCTCTAACATCCAGTGTTGAGTCACTCTTCTGTCCTCTCACACAGTACAGGTGCCCCCGTCCTTCGCCCTGCTCACTGGCTCTGTAACTGCATGCCAGGCCACCTCTTTTCTCACTTCGGCTGCTCCTCACCCAGCTGGGTTCTGACAACCCACTCTAGATCACCGCAGACCTCAGATGCCCAACTGCTTGGTTTTACCAAATGGCTTTTTGGATAGAATTGTTCAGGAAAAAAGAAAAAGAGCCTAGCAATAAAGGGAAGTGAAGGAAGGGAAAAGGAAAAGAATGAAGTGCAGTATGAGGAAGGGAAAGCATCGTTCTATCATTCTGTCATTCATTTAAGAGGAACAAAAATAATTAATCCTAACATCTTCACAATGGAGACCCCTGTTTTATCTACTGAATTGAGGCCATATGGAATAGTTATTTATCATCTGTCTATGGATATAGATATAGATATTGATGCATATATACAAAATAAGAACACAGAGTAAATCAGGAATAGACTACTAGTCAATACTCCTCTTTTTAGCACACAATAGGATTTTATTTCCTCATTCTCCTTGAAGTTAGGCATAGTTATAAAACTTACATTAACAATGAAATGAGAGAAATGACATAAATCACTCTTAGATGAGAGAATTGCCGATTCTTTAAAATCCACAGATAGATTCTCCAAGTATTTTCTTCCTCTGGCACATGAAGATTGTGGAACCCGGTCTTCACATGATGATGCAATGTTGTGACATTTCCTGAAGGACAAACTGCCCTGGAGAGTTACCCAAAGCTGTAGCTAAGTTTCCATGAGGAACAAGTAAATAAACCTTTGTTCTTTTAAGCTCCTGAATGTCTGGGCTGTCCATTACTGAAGCACAACCTAGTCTATTCTTAACAATTACAAGGAGTTATCTAACCTTCCGTATTGTTTAATGGTGGCATTCTGATTAAGGGAAATGAAAGTACAGGTTGGAGCATTTATTTTATAAATTCCAGATCTATTTTTCACATGGACTTATCCTACATGTTATTTCCCTAGAAAAATCATATAATTTCTTGTCTAAACACACCATATATTATTCTCCAATGTGGCACTTTCCTTTAAAGTTATCACTATCAGTGTCTGATTCACAGGGATTTAGGAACATTTATGACACGAAGCACTAATTCTTGAAGAATAATAGAAAGGCCTACATTTGTGTAGAATTACAAAGGGTTATCTAAGTAACAGGGAAACATATTTTAAAACTTCCTGCAGATACTGTTCCTAAATCATTAAAAATAAAGTTCAGAATTAGAAAAGATTTATTTTGAGTGAGGCAAAATGTGTTTCAATGTCCAACAAATAATAGGTACAAAATCAACAGGCTTTGAAGTACAAATTTCTCATAAAATGTGTTCCAGTGTCCATCAACTAATAGGTACTAAATAAATAGACTTTGAAGTATAAATATCGTATAATTATATTAGCTTTTATAAATGTTAGTAACAGAGGTAAATAGCAGTAGAGACAAACAGCATTAACAGAGTTTCTTTTACGCCTTCCATTTAAAAACATGTTTTATAATAATGTATTATTTATTTCAAAATAGCTAGAAGATTCTCAATGCCCTTGTTAACAGAAATAATAAATGTTTGAGGTGATGGATATGCTAATTACCCTGATTTGATTATTACACAATTTATGTCACACTGTAGCCTATAAATATGTGCAATTATTATGTATCAATTAAAACAAAACTTGAAGAAATAAAATTGTTTTGAATTAATACCCTTATGATTTACTGTATAAACATCTATAACTTTCCACCACAACTTGCTTATAATGCAACCACTAAACTCAATTAAAAATTATCGAAGACTTACCCTTTCAAACTAAGTGGACAACACATGTCAAAGTGCAATCACAAACTTCTGCCTTTAAAACATTTCGTGACCTTTCAGTGTGAAGCAACATGTCTTCAGGAATAATGATCTGATGAGTTCTGCAAGCATAGCAAAATCCTTGCCATGTGACTTACAGGGTGAAAAGTCACTCATCACTAGTCACACAGTAAGTGTCTTCTGGATAATAATGAATTTATAGGAAACAGGATGACCACAGATCTAATTTTAATGAAGCCCAAGACACAATCTGAGCTGATTGAGTTTGAAGTCTGCATACAATCTTCACAAGGTTAGAGTCATTGTATGACAACACAAGAAACAGAATTTTCTTTGTAAAAGGTTTTGTTTTTCAATGGATACACTTTTTTGCAGCAAAGAGTTAAGTATATATTAAGATGGTAGGAAAAAGTTTCTGAACATTTTAAAGAAAATCTAAAATTTCACAGTTTGGCTTTTGTTGTATGTAAAATGTTTGTTCTACTTATGTAACACTCATGTGCAAAGACTGAGATAGTTATATGTCTGAGATAGTTATTACACACACAGCAAATATAACAGGGAAAAGTATCCTGTTTCTATCAATAAAATACTTCATAAACAGAAAAATAGAAAAAGGTATAGGCAACACAAAACTCCCCCCAAATTATCAATTTGAGGAAAACATAAAATGTTAAGCTTATAACAAACAGAAATAATCATCTACCAGTGCCAAATGTGAACGAAGAGTCATTTAGCTTAATAGTGTTTAAATAACATATACTTAGATTCTTAAGAACATGCCTTGATGTGAACAAACTTGATTTACTTTTATGCTTTTCTCACTCCTGTGTTATTTTTCAGAATGACAAGATTAAGTATGACATTACATCGCCCAGGCACACAGAGGCCAAATTAGCATTTGGATATCATCTTGAGAGACAATTACCAAGAGTCTTGTATTTCTTGGCAATAAAGCTCACAAGTGAGGTATAAATATGTGACAAACATGCTTTATTCACCCTATAGGCTGAAGTGATTTAGGAGCAACATATTTTAAAAATGAACAAGATTTACTTATGAGATTTCTGGATCTCAGAGCCTATATTCAAGAAACTGAAAGAAACTGAAAATTGCAACTTTCAGTCGAACAGTAGATATTCTTGTGGTGGTCTTAAATAAAATTTATTATCGGACATATATATTTATTTATGAAAAAGTAGACTATGATTTCAAAGGATAAAACTGACTTTTGAAATTCAGAAAAAAACAATGAAACATCTGGAATTTTGAGAACCATTTTCAGATGTATTCAAAGGCTTAACACTTTGGCTTACAAAGAACTCTAATGACTGGGAGGATGGGAAAAAGCAAAATGAGTTCACTTTTAAAAGTCTTCCCTCCTTTATTAATGATCAATTTTCCAGATCAATTTTGGGGAACAGGATCAAATTTCTCTACATATCAGCAGATATTAAATGTTAAATGGCTGGATTTCTGGTAGTTGATTGTCATAGAATAGCACCTTATCCAGGCTACACAAAAAAGATGCATACTAACTTTTGAAATGAACCTAGATGGCTTCTGAAGTTGGTGACTCACCTTCTTCACCCGCATAGGCCAGAATAGATCGTGCTCGTATCTGTTTCCCTTCTGTGGTTTTCCCTGAGCATGTGTGAGAGCAGGAGGACCATGTAGACCATGTGGTGAGCACACAGTCTCTCGGGCATGGGGCATCACAGGCCACAGGGATGGGGAAGATGGCATCTCTGCACAGCTGTCTGTCAACTTCTTCTCCTGAGGAAGACATGACCATCAACAGCGATTATTGTTAATTCAATGTAAAATGAGCAACTGAAACCAGACGGGTACCCAAATAAGTTACATTATCTTTCTTTTGGTCTTATGTAAACACACACACACACACACACACACACACACACACACACACACACACACAAATACAAAGCCAAAAGAGGGATTGCCTACTATGGCCAGATGTTAATAGAACACCAGGAACAAGCATACATACACACACATACACTCATGACCCTAAATGAGGCTTCTTTCATTCTCAGGAGCATGCATGGGTAGATCAGGCACAACACTGAGAGGATTCTTATGCCACAGATACCTGCCCATTAAGTATTAATTTTTGTACTCATACTACTGAGTTGTAATAAGGAGCATTAACAAAGTATGTCTCCTCTTTCTTTACTGGCGATCGGTCATGGTTTACAAATAATGACTCTATCCATAGCATCTATCTTATGTTCATGAACCAACTAATAGGTGTCTATTTACAAACTCTATTGTGTCTCTCAGGGTAGTTATTATCATATAATTGGCAACCTTCTTTAATAAAAAATTGTTAGTTGGAAATAGATGGGAAATGTATGATAGGATAACATTATAAAGTCACTGCTTAAGGTGATCCCAATTGGAGAGGGAGGGAAACATGACCAAACAAGCAAACAGCAGAAGTAACATGGTGTCACTCCAACACTCAGTATTTTTCATTAGTTTCCTGTCGCTCCGATGAAGGCCAGAGTTTTCAAAAGCTTACGGGACCGCCAATAACCTTGGCTATGTTTCTCTTCCTAGTCTCAACTCAAACCACTCCCTCACTTTGCCTTTGACACTCCAGAGATTGACCGAAAAATTGACATTCATTTGGTATTTGCTGAATGAGTGAAATGAGATACATAAAAGGCCAATGAGCAACAAAATATTGCTGCTGTTAATAAATGCCAAAAACAACCAACAGAATAATCAAAACGAGGATGAAGAAAAACTCTGAAATCTGGTTTAGTTGATTAACATAAGGGCTAAATGAGGTCAATGGAATGGAACAGACTGAAATGATACACAATCAAACAAAAATTAACCTGCTATTTTCCCACAGAATATAATCATAATTCTGGATGAATACATAAAAAATGTGTGCCTCACATTAGGCATTCTGGTGAGAAAGGGTGACTAACCTTCCCATTTCTTACAGTGGCTACTGAACAAAATACTCCAAGCTGATTCTCACTTGGGGAGTTAGGAATATCATTTTAATGTATTCATATATTTTAAAAATAAGACAGAAAATCAGGGGTCAATTGCAAAAGCTCTAACATGTTTATAGCTACTAGCCTGCAGAGTCTTTAATCATGAGACGAAATCAGAAGTCAGTTGGAATACACCTACGTGTTAATAGCCACTACATGGCGAGGCCTTAAATTATTAGACTTATTCACAAGTAAGGGAGCCTCATTAAAAGTACAATTGAGTAAATGTTATATTATTCATTCTTAGTTAAATCATTCTAGTATGAGGCCTTTCATATTTTACACTTGACATAATAATATGAGTCTTTTTTTTTACTAGGCTTTTTCTTAGGGCAAGGGGGCCTCCCTTATATCTTGTTGCCTTCACTGCTGTCTTTTATTGTACCATCTATTTTCTCTCACTTTTGTTTCCAATACTCTGTGGAAAGCAAGAAAAGTTTGGGACTATAGTCTATATCTAACAAAAGTTACAGTTTTGTGTCTCCTCGAATAGCTACCCAATCTTTTCTATTCAGAAAAATGTAATTTATTCTCTGGCAATGGAGAGTTTGCTACAAGGGTGCATTCGATTAGTCTGCCTGGCGTAAGTAATACATTTTTGTTTGTTGTCATGTAAACCAAAGAAATGTGCAATTTTGACCTTTCTTCTCTTCTAAATTATGCTTCCCCCCCCAACCTCCCTCCTGGCAATTTGTGTCCTGTATCTTATTTTAGCTCCTTTTCAATCATCTTGTTCTGCTCAGCCAGGCGTATTTTCCTGTAGGATCATTTCTTCCACCACCCTTAATCCTCTGTGGCGCTGTTAAAACCCATCTAAGAACCAACTTCTGAGATTTCCCTGATGGTTTCAGAGTGACTTCTGCACCACCCTCAGCTCTTCCAGGTATGATCTTGTCCCTTTTTACTGCTCTGATCACTGTCTCACATTTAGGTTGAAGCTTTATGTTCTAGCCACCATGCCTTTTCTCCCTTTCCTCCGCAAATCAAGCCTGCTGTTGTCTCAGCAGTATTGTACTTTCTCTTCACTTGGTGTGAAAATTTCAGGTCTTCACACAGAAGCCTGTTTCTCAACATTCAGGTTTCCATTCAATTTTCTCCCTCCTAGAGGAGACTTCATTGACCATACACACGCTTCCAGTCACTTCAGTTTATTTTTGTTGTACTCTTAATTACCACTAGAACCTATTTTAATTAATTGGTTGACATGTTTATTGTCTGACTTTACCACTAGACTAAATGACAGTGTTATCCGTATCTGACTTGGTTGCTACTTTATACTTAGAACCTAGAATAGTGCCTGAAACATGGAAAGCACTAAATCATTCTTTGTTAAATAAATAAATTTTAAGTTGTGATAGGAAATAGAATGTTGGTCTAGACAAACAGAGATCTAAGTACCGTATTTCTTGTCATGCATTCAAATGCTCTAGGGCCTTGTGAAAGTACATTCAGTGGACAGCAACATATGGACTCCCTTGAGTTTTGGAGTTTGCTGGCAATGCAGCCTCTCAGATTCACCCACTGAATCACAACTTTATTATTATTATATTATTATTATTTTTGAGAGCAAGTCTTGTTCTGTCACCCAGGCTTGAGTGCAAAGGTACAATCTCTGCTCGGTTCACTGCAACCTCCATCTCCTGGGGTCAAGCGATTGTCCTGCTTCAGCCTCCAGAGTAGCTGGGACTACAAGTGTGTGCCATCATACTTGGCAAATTTTTGTATTTTTAGTAGAGATGGGGTTTCACCATGCTGGCAGGCTGGTCTCAAACTCCTGACCTTGTGATCAGCCCCCTTTGGCCTCCCAAAGTGCTGGGATTACAGGCATGAGCCATCACACCCAGCCTTAAAATAAAATGCACATAAAATCTAAGAAAATGCTCTAGAATTTTTCTCCATTTATTGTCTTCTGGTTTGATTAGAACCAGATTGTCTCTTGATGGGAAGCTATGTAAAATGAATTCATCTAGAAACAAGATTCATCTAGACTTCAAACCTAACGGCATTTGCTTCTTTGTGGAGAATCTCTTTATACTTCTCTTCATACAGAGTATCCGCGGCTGAAAATATTTATTCAGTCAATAGTTGCTGAATGTCCACCTTCTGTCAGGCACTATGCTAAGAATGTATGAATGTTGTATATGCCACCTCAGCTAATTCTCATAATAACCTTTTGATATAGGTATTATTTTTTACTTTAAAAGAAATTAAGACTCAACAAGGTTTTAAGTTATCTTTCTCAAACAGCAGAGGTTTGACTAAAGGAACAGAGATTTGAAATGAGTTCTGACCAATACCCCAATCTACTTTTGAACTAGATTGGGGTTCTTCTTGGCAGAGAACTCAAGATGCCAAGGTACTGAATAATAGATAAGCCTTTGCCTCCAAAGAAGTCAAGAAACAGGCACTCTCGAGTTCTGTCAACACAGTGATGTGTGGTGCCAGCCACACAGTACTACAAATACAAAGACATGAAGTGTTGACGAATCAAGGGTGACATGTTTTGGCTAACGGTCATTGAACAAACAGCAATTGATCTATGAGAATATAGAATCATTCAAATATTTGATTTTGCTTTCAATGAATGCTTTAATCAACTCAGCTAATTGGAACCCTTAGGAGCTATCCTCCTTTTAAGCTAAATCTTCAGATGCATAAATCATCTGGGAAACCACAGACAAATAAAATAAAATAAAACGTTGGTTCAATGTCTATCACAGGCAACTTCACAACTAGTCAGTTCTAGTCACTTTTGGGGGCTAATTTTATCTTACTTATACAGTTAATTTTATCTTACTTATAGATCTTACTCTACTCTTAAAGTCTTACAAGAGTAGGATAAAATAATTTCATCCCTTGTTTTTACATTAAATCTTGTTTCGGGTTGGTACACTTTATTTTGATTGTGTAAGAACTGTTGTGCCTAACATTACTTCAGTACATTAAACATGCACATATCTAAATAGCAAATTACTTTATACTCATATATATAGAGAAATGTAAGTTTTGCTGCTTAGCGCTATGGGAATTCCACTTTTTCATATCAGCAGCCCCACAGTTAGGACATATTTATCCAGCAGATGTCCCCACTATAAAGCTATTTGAGACTTTGATTATCCAAGTGTGCATTCTATTAAATCTGGGCAGACATGTCTGATTATCACTACTGTGATTTATGTAGTTCTATCACTGGTGTAGGTACAAGCCAGTGCAACTAGTTTTAGTCTCTCTGAGGACAATTTCTTAGCTAGATTTTGATCATGATGTCATAAACATTTAGAATCTTCCTCATGCTTGCCTTTGTGTATTAGTATTAAATATACTATCTTTTTTAGCATATATTTACCAACATAAATGATTTCAAAGGATTACTTTGCATTTATATAACTTTGTTTTTCTCACCCACAAATGTCTAGGCATTATAACCAAACCTGCCAAGATACAACAAATTTGTAATACAGACTAAATAAGTGAACCATTGTCTACATTTTACAATTTACACCTTATTTGAAGGTTTAACTGAAGCACATACTGTTTAAACTTGTTTGAAATACCCTATGCAAGAGGCTGAGATATAAAATGAGAATGCTTCAGTTTATTTTTGTAAACTCAAAATGAGATTTAAACATTTATATCTGTAATCCCCCATTTAATTTTTCTTCACAAGTGTAATTTAAAAAAATATTTTTTATAATTTACCATTCTAATAAACTTAAACATGTATTTAGACATTTTAAAGTC